CCCCAACAGCTTTGAAACAAACACTGTGATCACAGTCCCCACAGGATACAGGGTGAAGCTCGTCTTCCAGCACTTTGACCTGGAGCCTTCTGAAGGCTGCTCCTATGACTACGTTGAGGTAGGGGCAGGACGGGCGGCAGAGGGGAGACAAAACGGGACCCTCTGGGATCTGGGATCTGTATGGCATGCACACCCCCAGACACAGCCCAGCCCCACAAGAGGTGATGGCCGACTACATCTCTTAGAGCCAAGGGTTGCCCTGGACGGGGCACTCACTGGTGAAGAGGCCCGCAGTGAGCACTGAGGGGAGAAGCACAGAGAAGGAAGGGGACAGGACCCACTCAGGAAATTCACTGTCCACTGAGTCAAGAAAACCTTCCCCATCTGCTGTCTAGCTGAGAGCCTTTGGGAAACCACTGTGCCTCAGCTTCCCTGTCTCCAAGGAGAAGATTGGCATGGCTGCCTGCCTCAACAGGAACACAGGGACATGAGGAGGAGAAATGTGTGCTCTGGCAGCACGGGAATAGTCTTCAGCAAGGACAGTAGGCTCAGAACCCTCACCTCTGTGACAACCAAGGGTACCTTCCCTGGCCCATCTTTCTCTATCCAGTAAAAATGAGATTCAGGGCTCAAGCAGAGCCTGCGAAGGTCCAATAACTACCATTCCCAGGAGACTCCCGGAGGTAGGAGGTATGCACGAATAAGATTGTGGCTGACTGCCACAGTTACTACTTGAGAGAGTTACTACTTGAGACAGTCACTACAACAGTTACTAATGTTACTACTTGAGACCATCATTATGAGACTGAACAAAGTAGGACAAACATAGAAATGAAAATTTAAGACAAAAGAAACTGTTTTAAAGAAAGAGACCAAGGGAAGAAGAAGAGAGATCCCTGCTTCTAGTGAACAAAGGCCACAGACCCCGAGCTGCTACAGCCCTTCGTATTTATTGGGTAGAATGAGCAGGGAGGAGCAGATAAAGATTGGTCAGCTGCTTGATTGATTACAGGTTCATATTATTTCTTTTTTTTTTTTTTTTTTGAGACGGAGTCTTGCACTGTCGCGGCTCACTGCAAGCTCCGCCTCCCGGGTTCACACCATTCTCCTGCCTCAGCCTCCCCAGCAGCTGGGACTACAGGTGCCTGCCACCACACGTGGCTAATTTTTTGTATTTTTTAGTAGAGACGGGGTTTCACCATGTTAGCCAGGATGGTCTCGATCTACTGACCTCGTTATCCACCCGCCTCGGCCTCCCAAAGTTCTGGGATTGCAGGAGTGAGCCACCGCGCCTGGCTGGTTCATATTATTTCTAACAGGCTTCAGATATGCCCTGTAGATAATCACAAGAAACGCTTGGGGCATGACTGCCCTCAGCATTCCTTCTGGGCAGCAGATGCAGTGTGTCAGTTTGCCAACATCCTGCATTTATGAGAAGAGTTTGCTGTTTACTCATGTAGCC